ATCATAATTGTGAATGTTATGATTAAAGCCGGGCATCAAATACAACCTTTATATTTATATATCTAGAAGTGCATTTCATTGATAGAAGTATCTAACATAATGCTTGTCTAAGTAAAAAAACAATCTTCGGTACCTCCAATAACCAAGTAATCCACGACAACATTGCTTCTCTGACCAGCGTATCCTGCACTGTCTCTGACACACACTCTAAAGTGGGTGTTTGTGGCTTCCTTTGAAGATAGTGAGGAAACAGTAATAAAATCATTAAACTCGTCTGTCCGTCGTAAATGCTGTCGTAAACAAAGTATTAGGAATGTTATTTTGACGGTTTGTTGTAGTTCTCCAGAATACAAATACTAATGAGCAAACTGGCTGAAGCAGGGGAATAACTGAACAAATTTATCCAAATTAACCACTAATTTAACTCGTCTGTCCATCGTAAATGCTGTCGTAAACAAGTACTTGGAATGTTATTTTGACAGTTTGTTGTAGTTCTCCAGAATACAATGGTTATTGGGTACATATTTCCGACCGCAGTTAGAAATTGTACATTGCAGGTGTATGATCTGTCTGGTTCCCAGTGATTTATCGCTACAGTAAATGTTTTGTTACATTTATTTACGTATGGTACAGAGGTTTTAAAAACATCGAAATTCAATTCAGTTTATCGCCTAATGCTAATAGGATGTGGAAGTGTGCTTTACCTCCAGCCAACTGCTCAAAGGACCTTTCACTGGACACACTACATTGGTACTGTTACGGCCACCATTAAGAGTAGTGGTAAGTATCACGGGTGGAGAGTAAAATGGACTGGTGAAGCTGACATTCTGCAAGAAACGTGAAACGAAAGAAGTTGTAGTAACAGCATTTTTTCCGACCCCAAATCTATATTTCCACTGCCTCTTGTCTCACGTAGCAACAATAATGATAATAATGCGTAAAGGGACAAGTTGGGTAATCAATATGATTAAATCCATGAGGACTCTATACTTAAGAAGAAGATATTTCCAAGCATCCAAAGTACGGATACGTACCTTGCACAGAGCGTAGCTGCTTTCTGCAGTTGGTTGTTCACTTTCAGAAAAGACAATGACCGAGGACTCTTTAGCTTTCCATGCAGATGGGTACTGCTCATATGCCATCCAGTTCTGGTGATCAAAATTCCAGCCCAAAAATAAACAAATCTAGAATGTTTCTATGTATTTATATTTTTTTGGATTAAATTTATTTTTAGTTCCTTCATACCCATCCTGCTTGTTAAACATCTTGCTTTTTATATTACAGATAATCCTCCAAGAAACTGAGCGCTTCTGACCTGAATACCGTTTAAAATTGAATTTATATTAATTAACAGCGCTCTAAAA